CAGAGAGAGATCGCAAAAAGTAAATGGTGCCCTTTTACTTAGCGGTGAAGCGCTGCTATCATTGACCTTCACAAACTTACAGCAAAATCGACATCTCATGGTACTCTGTTAAGATAAGAAGAATACATTCCGAATCCAATGAGATGCAAATCATGTCAGAATCTTGGCCACACAGCCAAATACTGCAAAAATAATCAAGTTGTAAACTGCAATCAACTAATAGCAACGCATCAGACTCACCCAAATATAGAAATATTTTTAACACATATAAAACAAAAAACAAAAAAGCAAATATATATTCTTAAATTTATCTTAAAAATGGATTGAAATATTTCAGTGGAACATAAACGGTTATATAAACAACTACGACGATCTAATACTATTAATACTATTAAACACAAGCAATACAATAACTTCAAAACAATACATTGGCTACTTCTTTAACTAAGATCAAATAAAACAAATAGTAGAGGAAACAAAATTTAAAAACGTAGTACTTACGGAGAACCTAGCCTTGAACCTTAAAAAGTTAAATTTATCCCAAAATTCATTACTGATGAGCAAACTGAACTACACCAAACAATATCCAAACACCACTTCAAACATCTTCAGAGCCTTAACATAACTCAAAAAATTGCCGAAATCACAAAAGCCATAAAGAAGTCTGCTAATGTATCCATTCCCCAAAGAGTCTGTTCTTCCATAAAAACTTTACCATTGATGGAATTCCATGAAATTGAACATCTACTATAGCAAAAAACAAAACCAGCTGGCATACCTAAAAAAAATCTAAAGATTGAAAATGTTACAAGAGAGATAATGCTATTTTCACGCGGTGAAGGAAGCACAACAGCAAGCTTTGAAAAATTTACAGCCCTCCATATCACCGGCATCCACATGGGCTGACATAAAATCGTTAACAGGAGCACCCTATACACCAATTAGGTCAATTAACTACAATCAAAGCCTCTTCAATAGAAATAGCAATTCCTTTACAGAAACGTACAATTATTCAAATGACTCAAACTTTTCGTCAGAGTACAAGTCTGCAAAAAAAGTCACTAGGTATCATTGGAAATTATTTCGCCGACTCTGCCGTACGTTTCGCATACCTTAATTTCCACACAACCGAACCAAATATTTGTCCAATTACATTGAAAACTCTCAAAAAACCATATCCTCTTGCAAAGGATTATTATCCATAGACCACCTAATCGTCGACTGCAATGTTACGTACCGAATTTGGTTGAAATTGGTTAAGCAGATCTCAAGATATGGGTTTTCACCTAAAAGTGGGCTGTGCCACGCCCACTGTCTAATTTTGAACGCGGTTCCTATAAAGTCACCTCATACCATCCCAGAGATAAAATTTAATGTCTCTGGCGTGTTTAGTGCTTGATTTATCGCGCTTTTAGTAGTTTTTAACAGTACCGTTATATGGGGAGTGGGCGGAGTTGCCACCCGATTTCAACTATTTTTACATTGTGGGTAGAGGTTCTAAAAAAATTTGCTTCCAGTGAATTTTGTTATTATAACATTAGCGGTTTAGGAGATATGCATATTAAACCTATTAGAGGCAAGACCACGCCTACTTTTTAAAAAAAATTTTAACTGCAGATGCCCCTCCCTAATGTGATCCTGTGTACCAAATAACAGTCTTGTATATTATTGCGGAGCTTAGTTATGGCAATTTATTTGTTTTTGATTAATGGCGTTTGCACGGACGGACAGACGGACGGACGGACAG